TGGCTGATCTGTTTGGCAATAATCACGCCAATTTGAAAGCTGTTCTCGGTAAATCATCAGTAATGCATGGAGGACCAGGCGCCATTCGTCTACGTTTTTATTGACAAGCATTGCTATTAGGCAAACAATCAATGCAGTACTGATGGATGATTGGTTATCATCATTTATTGCTTAGTCATCATACGCCGCCTCAAATCACCCAGATGGTTCTCAAAGCAGCATCCTTTTTGGTTCAGTGAAAGGAGAGGTGGCATTCTTTTTTGCAGCTTTGAGCCATCTGTTTTATCTTTAAATATGAGAAGAGCTCTACACGGATAGATATTACACTGTCACTGTAAAGGGCACTGGCTTATTTCATTGAATAAATTGCAGGAGGGTTAAGAAGAAACCAAACAGATGGCGACTGCAGAGTCCAGCGGCCCAGAGCAGCACCTGTAGCTGTTTAAGCACAGGTGTGATTGATCTAGAAAGAGATTTATAAAACATCTATCAAGAGACAAGACAGTTCTATAAATCACCGCTTAATGATAGCAAAAATCTTCCCATATGGGTAAAAATCTGTTTCAAGTCGGTGTCTCTGATCTAATGTGTGCATTTGGGGGTCTATGACATGACAACGTGTATCATAATGTGGTATCACAGCAGCACACTGTTGTGCAGATGGGACTCTTTTATCATGTAAATGCTTTTCATATTGCTGATAGAGTGGCAGGATACTCAAGTACTGTAAGAGACAGACATCCATCACCGCAGCCCGCTCAGTATCAGATTGTGTGGGCTGAATTAAATTTGGAAACATTAAACTCAAATATCTCAAACCATTTCTTGTAACTCTGGACTGTAAGCATCTGTCAGTGGCATAAAAATTAGAGAGCATTTTATAACTTCAAACAGCTTTTCTCAGGGGAACTGCGAGAAGCTTGCCACTTAAATACAGACATTTTTCACTTTCTATTCTTATTATTTCCTCAAACGTCTTGTGAGTGTAAAACATCTGAATATAAAACTTGTGCATTCTCCAGCATGGATGAAAAAGTTTTAAGAAAACAGGACACTCATGAAACACACGATGAGACTTTTTCATTCCAACCTGAAGGTAAAACAGTCACAGCAAGCGAGTGTAACACCTAATCCTTTAGTTTAATCCCAGCCTGAAGAGAGCATCAAAATACTGACGCTGTCGCTCATGAAATGGACGAGAATCAAAGAATAAATGTGCGTTTGCTTTACTTAGTATTAACTGTGATGTGGCCTGGCTGCTAGCAGAGATAATACAACAGGAACCATGCACATGATGGCGCTTCTGCAGAGTCACTGCTGTAAGAGTGTGCCAGAGGCCTGAAAGTTTTCCCAGAACATAAAGTGGCATCGCCGATGTGGCATTACACCGAAGACAGCTTGTTGGCATGTAGTCATATAGTTTTATTGCAGCATTTGTAAATGGTTTGTAAAAGCAAAATGATGCAGACTCGCTCTGCAGTAAAAAAAAAAGAGTATTTATCATTTATTCAAATTCTTAAACAGATGGATGTTTATGATGTTCCTATACAAAGATTCTAACAATACGTGCAGCTGCTTGCACTTGGATTTGCCGTTTTGTTAACTGTTTGCTCCCAGATTTCTGCCTTATTCAGAATATTTGGGCCACAATAACCTACCATTTGTTATTTAGAAGCTTGTTCAGGGTTCTAGCCTTGTTGCTGAAGTGTTTGCTTCACTTTGAGTTCCATAGATAGGTATCATGAACAGGGTTTACACCAGGAGGAGGCTGAAGTTGAAGCACAGAACAACTGTGAAAGAGTAGATGATGTGACATGGCATTCTCTCCATCACAGAAATAGAAATAGATTTTATCATAAAATAATAGTTTTAAATCTCATGGATGGTTAAAATGATCTTCTTTGTAAATCCACACATTGTTAAAATAACTAAAGCTTGATTGAAAAGATAAAGTCGGAAAAAAGTGTTAAAAAATGTAATAACAGGCTAATAATCGGAACCAAAATTGAGAATACTATATTGATCCTGGGGGGGGGGGGGGGGGGATTTGTTCATTACAACCCAACACTTGTTGTTGAAAATACAAGTATTAGTGGAAGAAAAGTAGAAATAGAGATGAAAAAAAATAAAAAGGAAATTTCAACGGTTTGTAATAGCATGCTGAATATTAGAAATAAAGCTATTTACAAAGCACATAGGGCCTCATCTACGAAAGGTCTAAAAACCAGTTTGTGGTTTAGAATATTGCACAGAGTATTATATAGTCAACAAGGTAATGCACAGTGAAACAGAATATTGCACAGTGTAGCTGAGAGATAACAGACTATCAGTTTTGCACTCTCAGATTATTGACATTTTGACTGGTTTACAAACAGATTGCACAGTTGAATGTAAGCATATAAGGTGGAGAAGTTTACAGCTACTGCATGGGAATAAGTCCAGGGACAGTCACTGTGTGTGACACTCAGAGGAAGGAGTTATAAAGTTTGATGGTCACAGCTAAGAATGACTTCCTGTAGCACTCTGAGGTGCATTAAGGAGGAATGAGTCTAGCGCTGAATGTGCACCTGTGTTTGACCAGCATGTTATGGAGTGGGAGGTGGATACTCTCCAAGATTACATGCAGCTTTGACAACATCCTCCTCTCTGTCACCATCGTCAGCGAGTCCAGCTCTACCCCCACAATGATAAGTTTGTTGAGTCCGCTGGTGTCTGCTACCCTCAGTCTGCTGCCCCAGCACACAACAGCAAACAGAATCACACTGGCAACCACAGACTCACAGAACACCCTAGGCATGATCCAGCTTCCTGAAGAAGAAAAGACAGCTGAAGGCCTTCTTGCAGACAGCTTCAGAGTTCTTAGACCAGTCCAGTTTGTTGGACCACAAGTACACCCCCAGGTACTTGTGGTCCTCTACAATGTCTACTATGAGCCCCTGGATGAAACCAGGGGTCACTGGTGTCTTTGTCCTTCTCAGATCCACTATCAGTTCCTTAGTCTTTGTCATGTTGAGCTGGAGATGGTTCTGTTAACATCATGTGACAAGGTGATCCACCAAGGACCTGTACTCAGCCTCATCACCCTTCCTACAGCATCCGACTACTGCAGAGTCATCAGCAAACTTCTGAGGGTGGAAGGACCCTGTGTTGTAGTTTAAGTCTGTGGTGTAGAGGGTGAAGAGGAAAGGAGACAGGACTGTCCCCTGTGGTTGCTGACCACTCTGTCGAACACACAGTTTTGTAAGTGTACAAACTGTGGTCTCCCAGTCAGGCAGTCAATGATCAAGGAAACGAGAGGAGCCTCCACCTGCATCGCTGTCAGCTTCTCACCCAGTAGAGCTGGTCTGATAGTGTCATAAGCATTGGAGAAGCAAGAGGATGATGGCATCCTCTACTCCCAGGCAGGGCTGGTGGATGAACTAGAGTGGATCCAAGGGGTGTCTGACTGTCGCCCTAAGCTGTTCCAGGATGAGTCTCTCCAGGGTCCTCATGGTATGAGACGTCAACACCACTGATCAATAGCCCACAGAGCAGTTGGGATATGGCATTTTCAGCTCAAGTTTTGTAGTCCTTTGTTGTGACAAGCCCAAACTGAATTTTAATTTTAAAAGTTTTCAAACCACAAAACAAGGATTTACAAGGATTCAAATGTGTTTGAACCAAGTTCCTCTGAGATACTAGCAACGAACAAACTAACACAACCTCTGGTGTGACAGAAAAAAATCCTCTGATGTGACACCTTTTTCTGTGACACCAGAAAAAAATTGTGTATCAAATCTTTATAAAATAAATCTAACATGTTAAAGTTAATCAAGTCTTTTTAAAAAAAAAAAAAAAACTTTCTGCCCGTGACATAAAGAACTGAAGAGGAGAAACCAGCCGAGAAATAAACTCACAATAAATGACACTACAGAATTTGGCCATAAAAGCCAACTATTGAGCCAGTAAAGAGTCAGGGCTCTATTTTCGTGCCTTGCCTTAAGGGTGAAACTGGGACTTTTTCATTGTAATAATCCTGTTTCTCCCTAAGAGCTCAGAAATATCTTGTTTCTGCAACATTTCTGCCATTAATCAGTTATGGTGATGTCTTGCACAAAAGTGCCTCGATCAAATGTCTCCAGGCATTGGACATTGTCTGTCATTGTGCACTATGTTTTGTGACTAGTGGCGGTCGCTTCACTCACCGCTGTGAACTGTATGCCAAAGTTGAGTGGCCCTCCTTGAGCTCCAGGAGGTACACCCATTAGAAATCAAGAAATGCCCAAGCTTTACTGTCCTGTGCAGCTTATCATCTAAATGTCCCCAGAGTCCAAACTGAATTGGGTAAACTGGGTTTTTGTTATGCTGCCCCCACAGCCTGGAACACAATACAAAAAGAACTGAAAATATCACACTGGGTTCATTTAAGATTTTCATTCCATTTTATTCACTAAGCAGCGAGAATCCTACAAACAATGCCGTGTTTTTAAATTGTAATAGTCCCAAAATTTATTGTTGCACCTGAACTGTGAATTTGTTGGTTCCCTGATATCTTTTGTTTGTTATTTATTGCTCTAGTTTCTTCTTGAATTTGCATTTGTTATGACGTGTGCTGCTGACCTCTTGGCCTGGTCGCCCTTGTAAATGAGATCATGATCTCAATGGGATTTTACCTGGTTGAACTAAGGTTAAATTTAAAATAAATGAATATTATTATTATTATTATTATTATTATTATTATTATTATTATTTTTAATTATTGATTATTTATTTATTTATTTTTATAGTATTGTGACAGGAAAAAATACAAATAAAAAAAACAGGAACTATTCTGTTCAGGGACTTGATGCAAATTATAAACAGCCTTCCAATTATCCAGGAATATGAAGTAAAAATATGTCTAAGAAAGTTTGGAAATTGTATCCTTACAAGGAGCAGTGGATAAAAAGGCTTTCTGTATGTATTTTTTATTGGGTCACATACAGGAAAAATGCAGAAATTTTCATTTCAGAACAGATGATCTTCAAACTAGATGCACGGACAAGTTCTGGAGGAAAACAGAAACATCATTAACATATAAATTTACAATGTTTGCTGTTGGGAAAATGATCAGCAGCTTTATTTTATGATGCATAAAACTATCTGTGACTCTTTGATGCATCAAGACAAAACAAAGTCACATTGATTGAGGAGACATACAACTCACCATGCGGATGCAGCTCAAAACCTTTAATACGACATTTGTGAAGGAGACATTTTCTCATATATCGTCAGGTAGCTACTGCTTTACACCCTGGTCCTGCATTCCTGATACTGCCAGAAAAAAATCAATTTGAAACACAAAGAAAGTATTGAGAAACATGTTTGTTAAGAACAAACATATTTGATGCAGTTGCTTGAAGGTACGGGTGTATTGTGCTTTTATCTAGTGATGATCCAAGACATAAATTCAGTGATATAGCCTGGGCTTGTTTTCTGCATTTTAACACCAGCGCAGTGTGTGTTTTCCCCTCCCTTTGGTTGACTTCCACATGCCATATTACAATTTCATGGTGTGGTTGTTTCGAAGAGAACAACCCTCTTTTGCAAACACAAGCACCAGGTCTAGCCTCAGCAATCGTACAGCAACGGTTTCTTGGTACTTGGGGTTGTTCAATAGTGTCACGATGTACATGTCTTCAGCTTTTATATTTCCCCTATGGTCTGTCCTCTTGTGCAACATGGATAATAAACAAAATGTGTTGCTTATTTGCTGGGGTGTCTCTGGTATGTGTGCTCTGTTTGCACATAGCTTATTGCTGGTCTTTAGCATTGTTTAATTCATTTCTTTATTGGCACTATTGTGGAGGCAGCTGAGAAGATACAGCACTTCACATTTCTTCAAGGGAACAAATAAAGTCTATCATGAATCGTATAGTATTTATCATATTTAATTGTACCAAAACATATAGTATTGGATTATATTGTATTTTATTGAATCATGTACTATTTGTTACTTTTTGATTATCCTATTCATTAACTTGGAACAACTCCAACAGCAACAGGGCTTAGCACCGCTTAGAGTTCCACACTTTCTCCCTCTGTACCTGGATAGTTTCTGCCTGCAGCACCAAACGACTCTGCCAGAGACATCTGTCTTGCCCTTTGGCAACAGCACCTGACACTGTGCTTTACCATTCTGTCTGCACAAATACCTCACATGCACATATCGCAATATGGGGCTATTGGGATATTTCATAGTTGAATTGATTCCCACAGAGAAAGGGAAAGATAGAAAGAAAATGGAAAGAGAGATCAAAGGAAGAAAATACTTAACTAAGAGCACTGGAAGCATCACCACCAAAGGTGAGCTTTCTGCCGGCGAGGTCCTGGACCCGAACCCCTACTAGCGAATGGCCATGCTCACACTACAACAGGGCACCGACAGGAGATTGTGCCAAACAATATGAGCGCCAATGCTCACCTGCCCAGAACAACCGAGGCAGCATCCTCAAACCTCTTCCGAGGTCCCGGCTCTACATCACACTCCAAGGATTGGGTGGACTGACTCTGGTGACTGAAATGGGTCCTATTTATAACCTCTGTTATACATAGGACCCGCTTGCAAAGGGTTCTGGTCCAGGACCTCGCTGGCAATAATGCTTTGCAATAGCAAAGGTGAGCCTTTGCCGGCGATGGCCATGTTCACACTACAACAGGGCACCTACAGAAGGTTGTGCTGAGCATTATGAGCGCCAAGACTCACCAGGCCTAGCACAACCGAGGACGCATATTGGTAAAACACAAATTCTTGACCACTTGCAGGGGAACAGAACCCCTGCAAGTGGATGGCCATGCTCACACTACAACAGGGCACCGACAGGATGTTGTGCTGAGTAAAATGTGTCCTTGGTTATGCTAGGCCTAGGTTAGTATTGTGCTTTTTGGTCTACCCTACTCCAGACTCAGTTAAGCACTCAGCTAGGTTAGTATTGGTGCTCATAACACTCAGCACAACCTCCTGTCTGTGCCCTGTTTAGTGTGAACATGTCCATCCGCCTCGCCGGCAAAAGCTCACTTTTGGTATAAAGTACTATTGCCTGTGAGGTCCCGGGTCAGAACCCTTTGCATGCGGCAAGCTGTTAGCTGTATGCTCTTTCAGCAAGGTTATATTTCATAGCTAGCAGCAGCAAAACATGAATATTTGCAAGTGGTTTAAAAACCCACCAGCAGTCTTCTCTGCCAAACTGGACACTAAACTGGCACCTCCTTCTGTCTAATGCAACACCATACAACAAAACGTCAAAAAGATACAAAGACCTCAAAGATGCAGTAGCTTCTTGTATTGCGAAAGACAAAATACCATTAAGCACTGTTAAATTTAATCTTTTACATCGTGACATATATCGATATCTATTGATATGAAAAAAACAACGCAAGCAGGGGGGAGAAAAATGTATGTTCTGTGTAATAAATTTCTAAAGTTTGACCACAGCTCCATAAGCTTTGCTGGCGAAGGCGGGATTTATGACCTATACTGCAGCCCATCAACAGAGGGTGCTGTTCTCGTAGTGGCTTCACCCAGAGAGGAGGCAGACGGCGTCCATTCGATATACAGTCTGTGGTTTGCACTGTTTTATTTTAATGTTTACATCCATCTAATTTCTGGCACTGTCAGTGGAGTCCTCCTGGTTCCCTTGTGTAAGTTTTGCAGTGTTAATTATGCATTCACCAGTATAAATCATTATCCAGTAAACTGTTAATTCCTCTATTTCCTGTCAATACAAATATCACAATTTTACAAGACTTTTCCTGCTACTTTTGATGAGCAATCTTGACAGCCTGACAGAACTCAGGTCCCACTGTTTTCTTTCCATGGATAAGTGGGTTGCCATTTGGGTGAAAGTATCAGGTGCTCCACTGCACTGTTTCAAGCACGTTACAGCCAAGAAAACACATCGTGCCTGACTGCAGTGCAAAACACTTACACTAGCCAAAAAAATGGACTCTGATGGTGAAACATACTTACGCCCAGTGTGGGTGTGCCTCAAGTCCCGGGTTGCAGAGTCTTCATGGAGTTAAGAGTGCCCCATGTTTTGCATCACAGAATCATCACTAAAGGCTTTAGATCGGTTTTGGAGGAAGTGAGCTGCCCGCCGAGCTTCAGCTCTTGGAGCCGATTAGTAAGCCAAATGAGGTTGCCAGAAAGGCAGTTTACTTCCTCGTCCTCCCTTTCTTTCTCCGGTGCTCTTCAGCTCTCCTCATGGTTGTTAGCTTGAGGTTGAAGGCTGGCGGATGGTTTACAGCTCAACAGGTGGTCTGCTTTTTTTCTCCTTTCACCACTTTGTCGTTGTGCCTGAGTTGGCTTGCTCAGTTTTTCATGGTGTACAACAGTCCTGTTGCTGTCGTCTTCTTGAGACTGAGCTTTTCAGCTGATAGAATAATCATTATGAGGATCGTCAGGAGCCATTGACCAGCACCAACCTTTGCTTTAAAGAGTTCATGTCCTCATGAAATAGAAACTATCATTTCTTCTTGGTGGGGTGTCCTGTAAATACCTTGAATATTGGAATGGATGCAGGTGCCATAAAACTGACTTAAAGTCATGTCATGGGAATCTTTAAAACCAGTATATTTCAATTAAGTGAAACTCTTTGAATTTACAGCGAAAGAGTTGTGAATATCAGATGTGGGGAGGCATTTTAATTATTTGCATCATTAGTTAAAAAAGAACCCGGTCATCCCTTTGTCAGACTAAAGCTTAATTTTACACTTTGTAGAAACAAAACTCTGCACACAGCCTCTTGAGACTGTGGGGTGTTTTTTTAATAAAAGCAAAGTAAAGCTAATTCTTCTCCACTGCTTTTACTTTCTGTTACTGTTAGGATGAACACAGCTCCTCTTCATATTTAAAGAAGGTTTAATTTCTATGGTTGAGTTATTAATACTCCCTTTGTGATCAAACACTTCTTCATTTACTGTCCCAAAGCACCTAAAACAATCTGCCTGTATTTTTGCAGTCATGTTTTTTTTTTTTTTTTCCAATATTCTTGCAGTTATTTGTTGCGATGAACAAACCTCATTTTCATCAAGGCCATTTACATGGTTAGTCCACCCACAGGTCATTTTAATTACTATGACAGACGACAAAGGCACTGTAGCTGTGTACAGACTAAGGCCTTGGCCACACTTGTACAGACTTTTTCTCCTAATATGACAGAAAAAGAAAATGTGAACACAGCACCTTGGTTTAATAAAACATCTTCATCCAGGAGAACAGCAAAGGAGAAGAAAGTAGAACATTATAAACATAGATAATAGGTGGTATTATAAGGTCCATGGACAACCTGTAATCAAACCTTTCTGCAGTTGCTAAATGAAACAGAAACAGTCACACCATTTGCATCAGAGCCCCAAACAGTTGCATCGATATCGGCAAAAAGAAACAACAATGTGCAACGATCCATTGATATCATAACCTATTTGTTCCTCATCTTCCCAAGGAAACACAGAAACTACTGACGAATTTATAAGAAATAAAAATATATTTTTTAATTATTGACCTAAACTTTGAGGGTAATACAGCCAAAACATGAGGAACGTTTGATCATTTAACTGTCTACAAACTATCCCAATTCCCCCCAAAACATTTTTTTCTTCTTCACCTTAGTCCATCGTAAATAACGGGGACTAGAGAAGGAGTTGCTGATGTTTCTGAATTTTATACATACATGCTCTCTTTTTGCATGGTACAATTTTAACCTGCATTTGTAGATGGAGCAATGATGGTTTTCAGAAGTGGTATTTGGTCCGTGCAGTGATTTCCACAACAGAGTCAGGTCTGCAGTCGGTACGGGTAGGTAGGTAAGGGTTTTATGCAGTACATTGGAGCTCCAGAAGATCCCTGGAATTCAGTATGGAAATTACCATGTAATACTGCTCAATGAATACTTAACATTACAGTTCCTTCAGATCATTGACTCTTTTGTGATGGGTTGACTGAAAATGATGGAACCATCAATTGATTTGTACAAACATTTTCCCTGTTTTTAAACATGACAAAACTTTTGGGGTATTTTGTCGTCTCAAAGTGTTGGCAGCATTGACTTGAGAATGAGGATTTCTGTGTACACATTAGTTTATCAGTTTCAACATATGTTATTTTTGCAGTACTTTCAATCAAATAGAGGGTTTTACCCTCATTATAGACATTATACACATAGATGCCTCATTACGTGCTGGAGCGTAATCCAGAATCGCTGCCATATTGGATGGGTCTCCCCACTCCAGGCTCGCTCAAGAGCCAAACGGGATCAATGGAGAAGGAGCAATTATGCCTGTATTTTTGCACTCTATGGTTGAAAAAACTGACGCAGTATTGAAATCAGATCACATAGGATTACATTTCAAAAATACGATTGAAACAGAATTTTGGTTATTTTGAATGTGTGACATTGTCCTGTATTATGGCTACATCCCTGCCATTTGTAACAAACCAAACAGCGTGAAAATCGGACTTAGATTCAGAGGGTTATTATTAATTTGGTTGGGCACTCCTACCTACCTTAATGCATTAGAGGCACATGGGGGACCATTCCAAGTTGGCGGCCGCGTTGATACGTGAGCTCGAATAAGCAATGTCGGGCTTTGAGGCGTCTACGTATTATGTCTATGGGTTTTACCACCTGGACCCGCAGCACCATTCTCACAGGGCTTTTAAAAGTTCTGATGTTGGACTTGAGATATAGAAAAGAATAGGTACCAGAAATGCATTAAATACATTTACAGATAACTTGTAGATGCTTGTGCTTGTAAACAAATTGATTTCAAAGCTGACTCAGACTGAAATAAATAAATAAAACTAAGTCCAGATTTACAACTGAACACTAGAGCATTTGTGAAACCCAGACACGTGAGCACTGTAAGGCAAAACTTTGCTGTCTCACTACACAGCCTGTTCTCTCACTGCAATCTCAGCCCAAATGTTCCAATAAGAGCTGCAAACTCATATTAATGATTCACTTAAAACGAGAGGCTTGGTCGAAACACTCGTACCAGATAGAGGAGGAATCTGATGTCAGACCAGCAAGAAACAGACTAATGTCCATACATACAACTTAACTCAATATGTTATATGTTTATTCATCTGGAAAATATCCCATTCTGCTCTGATTCTCATGTCCTTTTTCACATCCCCACATTATGATTAATCTATTAGCTTACAGTGTGCTTCACCCTATTTCAGTGATAAGCTGCATCAGCGGAAACCCAGATGCTGATATTAAACCACCAGCTTTGTGACTAAATCAAACTGGAGGTGGACTGGTTACCCAGTAATGATGAAAAATCTGGTCATCATGTCCAGATGGAGTCTGTGTCTAAATATAATCTCTTTATCAACGGCAGCTTCATACAAGAACATGAGCATGACACACTCTTATTGTGACAACTGCAACAGACCGACTGTCAGGCTGCCACATTGAGTATAAACAATGACAAATAGGTGTTACACAATTAATGTGCCCATGCTATTTAAAATGAATTATACCTGACTGCCTCTGGAAACTCTGCATGCACCTGGAATAACTACAGAAATCTACCACATATAATCTGCTAATCAAGTCTAGTGCCTTCAAGAAATATAAAACACTGAGTTTATTTGCATGAACACTTCTTCTCATTCTTTAGTGGATGAGGGCTGTCAGGGCCAATATCATGTTATTAAGAATTGAATAAACACACCTAGATTTTTGCCTAACAATCGATTTAGTTCCATGCACCGAGAGCATAATCTGATTGATTTAATTTGATTACATCTGTGCTTGAGAAAAGAACGTGAACAGACGGCAATCTAAAAGGAGAGGAAAGAGACGGCAAACACGATAAGCAGCAGGAACATCAATGCAGCGAGATGTTTAACGAAATGTGGGATATGAACATTCAACTCAACAGACCCATCAGTTTATCATCAATTATTGGCATTAACAATAAATTAAATAACAGGTACCATAACCTTTGACGCCATCATTTTTGCCGTACCGTACCAGACTTTACAGCAGAAATGTGACACTTTTGCTCGCAGCAGACGGTTCTCTGTCTACATGAATGTTGGGAGTCACTTTTGTTCGTGAATATTTTGTCTTGTTCAAATTAGCTCCTGTTTGCTAAAATGGTCTCTCAGGGGGCTCGATTTCTGCTAAGCCAAATGATCTGGATCACTTGAAAGGAGTTTAATTCCCATCTCTAAGAGCATTTACACTGAAATTGTTCACACAGGAGGATGAACTCAGTACCTTCTCACATGAAACTACCCATTAGTCAATCAGGAAACAACTTGACTGAAGTAAGAAGCACAAAAAATGTAGCCATGACAAGGATAGTAAACACAAGGCCTAAACTTAGCCGTACGTCAGAAAAAGAGAACCCACTGTTGATAATGCTCAAAACACATGTGAGCATAACATGTTTGGTAAGGCACATCACAACTGAGGGGACAAGGGGAGGTGTTGAAAAGAAATGGTTTCTTCAATTCTGTTTAGCTAAAGGTGACCGGATGTTCCCGATTTCCGGGGACAGTCCCTGAGTTGGATGACCTATCCCCGGCAAAAGCTGTCCCTGAAAATGTCCCCGATTTAAATGTTTCATGAATGAGAACAAAAATGTTGCATGAAGGCTAGAACAACGGTTATTACAGTAGCCGAATGGGTAGGACGCACAAATAAGCAGTCCTGAACAACAGTTTTTACAGGGGTTATTACAAGGGGCATGCGCTGCTACTAAATAGTGCAGAGACTTTGTCTGTGATCACACAGCCCCTGCACCCCCCCTGCCACTGCCGCCGCACCGATTGTCCCCGGATTTCATTACAGAAATCTGGTCACCTTAGTTTAGCTACCAGGAAATTAATCAGCTAGCTACCGTTACCTTCTGTAATCTGCCAAGTTTGTTTACTCCTAAATCAAGTTTGACCACGAAACATTTTACAATGTTTCCTGTTAGGAGAGTCAAGACTCTAGCTGCAGATGAAAATAGTCTTTGTGCATGGGAGGCTGTGTCAAGCACATTGTTGCACACCACAGGAGCAAAACTGTTTAACTGATCATTATTTTTCAGTGTGTGAAAGAAAACAGTTA